GCATGCATGACAACCATTGTTTGTCATAATGGTATACTCCAATCACCCAATTACCTTGATCTACTTACACTGAAATAAAGTACAAATCAATCTGCAGAGAAAAAAATAAAACAAAAGAGAATATTATGCTTTTTATGTAGATATTTATTCATGATACGTGCAATATAATGTCAAAAATAATCACCATTTACTCGTGAGAAACATTTCAGTAGTCATGTCTAAAATATGTTATACGATCTAAAATCAATCACTTTTAAACAATTTAGGTCAAAGGAATATATAGACGTTTTGATTTTTAAAATCATTTCAGCATAAGTCAATGTTAATCATGTATTTAACCCCGCCCATTCTGTTTGTGTTTGTCTTGTAATTCAGTGGTTGTCGTATGTTTGTTTTTCGTTTATTGTTTTGTACATAAATCAGTCCGTTAGATTTCTGGATTAAATTGTTTTGCATTTGTCATTTCGGGGCCTTTTATATATATATATATATAGCTTGTATTACTATGCGGTAGGGGTTTGGTTCATTGTTGAAGGCCGTACGGTGACCTATAGTTGCTAGCTTTTACGTCATTTGGTTTCTGGTGGAGAGCTGTCTCATTTGAAATCATATCACATCTTCTTATTTTTTTATATATTATGTGAATATCATAACACACATATTTCCCATATAAGCGGTGGTGTCACAAGGTCGAAAATCATATCCCGAGGCTCTGAAATATTGTCGAGGGATATGTGGACTGATATACAAAATGAGGCTCCATACCCTCTTTCACATACGCTATGATTTGACTTAAATATCTGAAAAAATCAATTTAATTAACGACTGACTATTTAACGTAACGAAGACCCCTAACACGCTTATAAACGTGTGTTTTCTTATCTATAAAGTGGAAAATTATATTTCTTGCTTCTGTATCAGCATACTATCGGTTATCTGAACGTTCCTATTTCAAAATAAAACGGCGGCCATGTTATGTAAAAGTTCAATGATATGTTGTGACTTTGGCGTATTACCCACAACTTATATTCCTGGTTAAATTTGACCCCAAGATTTTAATAGTTTTTTTTCAATCAGGCCAAAATACAAATTCCACATAGAAATATATATTACTATAAATACAAAGTAACTTCTTTTTAATTGGAACATCACTTTATAAATTACGAAGTCATGACCTCCTTATCATGCATTCGTTGCGTTAAGTTTTTTTCCAATTTTTTCAGAACTTATAACAGTATTAACCTAATCATATTTGGCCGCAACCCATGATCAAAAATATTTTGTGTCTTGGGATTCACTATTAACCTTTACACCTATAGGTTACAAAACATTTTGGATTGTATGTTGCGACAAGGATTTCCCTTAAGTTCTTAGGTAAAAAAAAAAGCACAAACATTTGCAAAATGTGAATGACTTTGGTGCTTACAATATACTCTTATGGAGAGCATTAAAACTTTCTTGAAAAAGATCCATTTAAGAACCAAATTCTAGCCTTTTTGATATTTCATGATAAAGTTTAAAATTCAAGACATCGTCCTTTGACTGGAATTTGGCACTTGAATGTATCTTTTTTTGTATTTACCTCCTAATGTATTTACACCTCTTTCGACTGTCCCATTTTAAACCCATGAGTTTTCCTTTTAAATGTAAATCTAGAAACTAAGCAAAACACATTAAAGTTAAACCTTTTCTTTGATTCGCCTAAAAAATTGAAAAAAAAAAATGTTATTAGAGTCATTCTAGTACGTTAGCATTGATTCATACCTTATGCTAGTCATTAGCAGATATTTGGAACAATGTCCGTTTGAATTTATATGAACACTCTGATAGATTCGTACATAAATGTTTATATACCATTTTACACGGATTGGTAGACAAAGTGGTAGGGTATTTGTTACAGATGAGGACATTAGTCTATGTGATTATAGATCTAGAAGGAGATTTATAAAATGATACATTTGAATATTGGCTTTTTAAAGTGTCTCATTGATTGTAAAGGACCTAATTGTTCCACAAAAATACAATATTTCAATCGATCTCTTGTTTTCAAATGTTGTGATTATTAATCGGTTTCAAATTAAGCACTCTTTTTATGTAATACAAATCTTAGATTTATGACCAATAGATTAATGCGCTAATTGTTTAAATGTCTAACACTTTGTCAAGCTTACAAAAGTTGCAAAAACTTATCGACCATCCTTTGACTTATGCTATACCCAATACAATAACTTTTGAAGTTGGCATTTTAGAAGCTGGGAACGCGTTGACAAGTTAGATGTTATTATAGTAATTACATCAAGCTGAGATTGAGGGAAATCATAAACGTGCTTTACGCTGAGTTGGTCTTGTTTGATTAATCTATTACTACTTTGTAAACTTATAAAGCATGTTATGACAGAATAATTACAGGGTTACATTACTTCTTTTTTCTGCTTTTACACCACTTATAAAAAAATTAAAAACATCAGAAAAAATCAGAAAAACGCTTCGGACGCATGAAATTATTTAACGTGTTGTTTTCATTTTGTACAGAGCTGGGTCGATACCTCTACTTGTGGACTATCAGTCCCCGAGGGTAACATCAGCTGAGTAGTCAGTTCTTCTGTACTGTCATGATTTATAACAAACCTTTCTAAAATTGTCCGTCTATAAATTTTGAAATTATAAAGAAACTAAGGTTTCAACTCCCTAGGGCGAAGTTGACCTTAGATGAATTTGGCTATTTTTTAGGTATTTTTTTGTCATATAGCTCTTCAACTTTTTCGGTTCTTATACATCCGCGGCTTTCAAATATTCGGCTTTGAACGTTCCCGATGAAGGTAAATTCAGAAAAGCGCATCGGGCGCTTGAAATTATTAAACGAGTTGTTTTCATTTTATAATGCAGCAACCATCCGTCTTGTGCGTGGGGAGAGGGCATCGGTTATTTTCTCGGGATAATGTTTTGAAACACTTTGATAAAAAAATGTACTTTTTCAATAAAATGCAGGAACAAGGATTTTTTTGGGGCAATTATTTAAAAAAAAAAAACGATAGTCCCCCTATTTCAGAAAAGTGAAAGGTTTGTTCCTAACTCGGTTCAGTTTAATGTTGCTACCCTTAGTAATCGTAGCGAGATGCCTTCTTGTATTTATGCATATATTTTTTATTTTAAATACATATTACAATAAAGACGTGTTCGTCTACTTCTCTATTTCGTCAATTGCAACAACAAAACTCCTATGCGTTTTTTAAGTCAATACCACTGGTCCCCGCGGGTATCATTAAGATTTTGTTGTTTTTATTGAAGTTAATGTTCCAACTTCCTAAGGCAAACTTGTCCTTAGATGGATAGACTTTTTTTCGGCTTCTTATTTTGATAGTCTTCTTGTGTAAAAATTATATTGTGACTTGTGGCTTTGAGCATTCGAAATGAAGGTTAATCCGGAAAAGTGCTTCGATGACAGCAATTTCTTTACTGAATACATTTTATTTAAATGTTCAGTTCGTTTATGGTGGTACTTACTGATTCTAAGGTTAAAATCTCGTAATAAAGGGCTATTTTGTTGGCTCTTCTTTGTAAATCTTTTTTTAATTTGTTCATGCAACTTTAAAATACCCATCTTACAGCAACACATTAATGTTATTCAACTAAGATTTACCCATCTTACAGCAACACATTAATGTTATTCAACTAAGATTTACCCATCTTACAGCAACACATTAATGTTATTCAACTAAGATTTACCCATCTTACAGCAACACATTAATGTTATTCAACTAAGATTTACCCATCTTTCAGCAACACTTTCATACTTACCTGTAATGCAACTTAAAAATACTCCTTAAAAATACTCCTCTTCAGTAACACATTCATACTCACCTAGATCCGACTAAAATATAAAAACTGAAAGACTCTAGCTAAGTAACGTTTTAAAGCTACATTGCATCATCATATAAGATCGAAATCCGACATGCAACATAAATACTTATTAAGACAATGTTGGAATCGAAAAATGAATCGCATGAACTCCAATTAGAGTTTCATCAGGTGTTTTGGCAGGGGAATTTATTAAGGCTTTTTAGAGACATACATTTGACCTCTGTAGTACGAATATACAAAATGCAGCATAAAGGATATGCGGACTCCTTACGTTTTTTTTTTTCTCTCGCCTGGTTTAAACATACAAAATGGGTTAACGAGTTTTGAAAATCGGTTAACAACTGTTGCCTTGTATTCATGTCAATTCATTTACTACTCACCAGTACACATTTCATTCACTTAAGCTATAAAAAAATACACATTCTTATATCTTGCCGTGAAACAAAAGACAAAAATGACAAATTATTATTGCCAACTTTTTGTCATTATGGAGCCTATAGGTAAAGTTATTTGATATCTATATCCGATGGTGAGAACATACTAACACAGCTACAGGAATGATATATGTGTAGTTATATCTAATGATAATCGCTCTGTCTAACCAGATTGTTGACTTTATTTAAGTGTTAAAATGGCTATCGATAATACACTTTGCGGGTCTGGACAATCAGGAATAATTTGTCTTCGTTCGAACAAATTCCATCGATCCCTTAATGTGTTTATAATATCTTTGCACCATTGATTCGTCCAACCATTAACACTGTTCGTTAGTTACCCTTTTCCGATACCATATACGAACTGATCCATTTTCAGCAACATTAAAGCAGTTTGGAAGAATTTTACACTCGACGTACCATCGGTGCTAAATACGGTTCAATTTACATCGATAAATCCTTTGATGAATAAATGAATTTTATCTCTTTTAGTAAATAAAATTCGGATTTTAAAATGACGATTATGAAATATAGTTTAATTAGTGGTTAATTACGATCAAACATTTGTCAGAAACGGACAATGACAGGTGCTCGTTTCAAGTGCATTTCTTTGTAAACTTATCAATATATGCAGTATTTATACATTAAATAGTATCATAGTACCAGTGTAAATGTAAATGAGATATTGCTTTTAAATTATTTCAGATCACGTGACCTCAGAAGCAAGGAATTTGTTTGCATAACTTTGATTTAGTCTAGGACCGTGAGAACTTCGGAATGGATTATCGAAAAAAGTTTTTGTAACAAAAATAAATGGATTTTCAATCAACTTTAAATCGCCAATACCAGAATACCATATTAAATTCCTCTTACATGTGTAAGACGTAAATGTATGGTAAGTACTATTTATCGTATTTACCAAAAATTATATACATCATAAAATTTGTTTTACTATTACTTTTTTTAATAGTTTGCATTGCTTGAAATAAATTCTAGCACAAAAGTCAGAAATTTAGTTCTAAGAATTATTTCATTAAAAATAGCCTTAAACACGAAAAAAAATAATTTTGTCAAATAAAACTCCTTTTTTTGTGTGTGTGGATATTTAAAAGAATTGTCGCAATATTACTAACACGTTTTGTCGATACTTACATAACTTGTAAAATGTCCTTTTAAGGTACTCATTTTTATGATATAGTATCAAATATTTCATGTAGATTTCTTAGTAAAATAATAAAACTGCAATATTTGCTAATACATGTAATTTACTGATATTTCTTACTAGATTTAACTAAAAGTAGAGTATATAAAAAGAAGGAGCTGTGGCAAAAGAGACATGCGTGAGGTATTCCGATCAGTTAAAATCTTGAGCGGTATCGCTTTGACGTTTGGTCCGCCTTAATAGGTTCCGAGTAAAAGAGAGTCGAAAGATACCAAAGGGACATTCAAACTCATAAGTCGAAAATAAATTGACAACACCATGGCAAAAAAAAAAGAAAAAGATTGAAAGACAAACAACAGTATACAAAACACAACATAAAAAACTAAAGACTAAGCAACCCCAAACCACACAGTAAAACAATGATTGTACGAAAGTAAACAGAAATAAACAAGATTACGGACCCGGACATTGCGTCCTAATAATATCAGAAGTGCAGAAATTGGACGGAGAATCATTTATATTGTTGAAATATTTGGTATTTTATCATAAAAGGATATTTGCACTAAGATTGAGGAATATTGTTCTTCGCAGTATATCATATTGCTATCGTAAGCTTCGGCACAGCTCGGGACAAAATTCCTTCATATTAATGCAATGATCCAGTCATATATTCCGACATGTGTAAAGCATGTGTTGTGCATGTCAAATAAAAAGCACAATCAACAAACCAACAATTCAACTGGCTTATCAGTATTAATCTTAATTGATTGATTAGCACTCATTTGCATGGCATTTTTATGTCCAAATCTCGCATTTTTAAGATAATAATTCATATTTCCAAATGGGAGCAAAATTTAAATGCATTAGAAACTTATTTTCCGCACAGGCGCCAGTTTAACGAAAAGTGTAAGGATTAAGACATATATATATATATATTAACCATATTATAGCTTCGTCAACAGATCATGTCAATTAATACTATACATTTACAAAACAAAATACAAACTCAGGAATTAAATAAATCAAATCAGACTCCAGACTTAAAACTATATGGGCTATAAATGTCTGCTTTCAAATAGGGTTTTTCGCGCTGATTCAGATTGTTGACGGTCACCACGTAGACATGTTACCTACAATAATACAATTATTACATGCCGACCAGTCAGTGCTGTTTCTTCTAAACATATTGAATGTATAGTGATGTTGGGTAAAAGTTAACAGATTACATATCATCAATACATTAAAAGATGAACACGCATTACAATGAAGGAAAGAGTACAGAAGCGATCGAGTCATTAAAGAAATATATTTTTTTTTAAATCCAGAAAAAAGGCCACAACAACCAATTCCAATAAAGCTTTAAGTATGTGCACGTGCAATAAATCAAAGCCATTATAAACATTAATCAATACCTATAATGATATCAGAAAGAAGTCCTCGTGTGAGAATCACTCCATTTCCTTGTTGTCCTTGCAATTATTGCTTGTCATCATTCAAATCTAAAAGTACAACTATGGCTATAATTTTAGGTTCCTTTTAGCCATTTAGCTCTTAAAATTTTACGTTTTTATACATCCATTTCTTTAGAAATTTTGCTTTGAGCAGTCCTGATGAAGATGAAATCTTGAATACTACATGATAAACCTTTACATCGTCTACATCGGTACATGAAACATGTGTGGTTATATGATGATGTTTTAGAGTTTCGACTATAACACTATATAATATATAAAATATATAAGTCATTTTCTTGATAGTGACATCACCGAATTTGTACCTACCATAAGCAACATGACGGAGGCCACTAGTGAAGCAGGATCTGCACCTGAGATCCCCCATTTGTTGCTCAGTCTTTATGTTTTTTGGGGGATGTGTTTGTCTTTTCGTCGTTTTTCGTTTGTTTGTCATGGCGTTGTCAGTTTGTCTTCGACTTGTGAGTTTTGGACTCCCCCTTTGTTTCTCCCGCCTTTTTCTCAAGTCAATTTTGGTATATGTAGTGGCGAGTATGTTTTTTTGTTTATGCTGGAGTATCCAAATCTCCCTCAAATAACTCTGTTCCTATCCCTTTTTTATTATAATCTTCAATCTGAGCCTTTCTGAGCGACTGCTGTTATGCAATGTTGGTCAGGTTATTTTCGTACAATCTAGAACGTGGTACTTCAGCAAGTTCGATTTCGTATAAAGCATGTTGCTTATATTGCGAGGTTTTGTGTGTTTTTTGTTGTCTTTATTGCAAGAATAGAATTGAGAATGGAAACGGGGAATGTGTCAATGTATGTTTTTTTTTTGCTGTTTGCCTGTTCTGTCGATCCATTTCTTCTGGTAGCCACATGTTAGATATAAGTTTGGAGCGTTGTCGATTTTCTGAAGAAAAAAAAAATGCATTGTTTGTTTCATAATTCGAGATAGGAAGATTATTTATTCTTGTATTAAATTCAAGATTAAAGTGTTGATAGTGGGGTTGTTTTTATCAAACCAACCTGAGGAAATAATATATTCTTGCTTGTTGTGCTGTTTATAAAACTGTGTGCCCAATTTCATTAGCAAAGTATTCTATATAATACGAACATTAAACCAGCTGCATTTTTATGCAACTGTCCTAAATCAGGAGCCTGTTGTTCAGTGGTTGTCGTTTGTTGGTGTGGTTCATAAATGTTTCTCGTTTTTTATATAGATAAGACCGTTGGTTTTCCTGTTTGAATTGTTTTACACTAGTCTTTTTGGGGCCCTTTATAGCTTGCTGTTCGGTGTGAGCCAAGGCTTCTTGTTGAAGGCCGTACTTTAATCCAAAATTGTTTACTTTTTACACATTGTGACTTGGATGGATAGTTTTCTCATTGGCACTCATACCACATCTTCTTATTTATATGAATATATATTGCCAAGTGGACGTTTTTTTTTATTTAGCTGGTTAAAGCTGCTGATTCGATTTCCAGCAGCTCACGTTAAGATGCCGAAAAACTATCGTTTCGCTACTAGTATAATTTGTCTGTCCGCTTGTAAATTTCTTATATAATACATAAGCACTACGCTATAGATATTATTGCGGAATCATAGTTGAGAAATATATTGTCCTGGTTAACAATAATTTTAAGTATCTATAGAATCCCAAGGTAAGAATATATTTACTCTTACTCAAATGAAGTGTTTTATACCAGAACATTGTCACGAATAAGGAAATAAAATGGCAGGTTAGTTACAATCAATTCAAAAAATGAGTTTATCAATTATAATTGATTGTTTGAACATCATTGGCCACTTATATAGGAATTTTAATGATTCAATTTTAAAATGGAAAACAAATCAGTCCTTTGGTGACCTTATGTTTTTATTTCACATTCTGCAGCTATAATGGTTCAAGCAAGGAAATGAAAACGTTATTGTGAAACATTAAAAAAGATTGTTCACAGTATTTCTTCTTAATGAAACATCAACCAATTTAGAATCAATAACGATAGGAAATTCTTTCAAATACGGTAGCTAGTAAGTTAGTTTAATTAAAGCGGGAATGTGTATACCGCACCGAGCACCGGAAGTCGCCTGAAGTGCTCGTGCTTGTATTCACGTGTTTATAGTCTGAAATATACAAATTCATACAAATGGAGACCTAGATATTCGATCAAACTTTATAACTTAGACAAAACTGTTTCAACTTAATTTAAGATGAAAAGAAAATTGAGAAAACATAAAATGTCATTCTACATGAAATCTAAGGGTCAATTATTGCTCTAGAGACCAATCCTGCAATGTAATACGTTTCATTAATTGTGAATATCACTAGAAAAAGCAGATCATGGTACTTCAAAACAAACATATACTACTGTGGTCCGAAAGTACTCGTGTGAATGAAATCCGTGTATTCATAATGAGATTGGAAACATGAATCACATTTTTCAAATATCTTTGATTTGAAGAGGTGTGTAATAATATACAAGAAAATCATAATCATACTTTATCGAGTGTCAAAAATATACACGAGAAAATAGTTGCTGCCATGTGAATCAAAACCAAATTATCGTATACTTTGCAAATTGTATATAAAACAAATCTGTTAATGTTTTACCACCAGCACTTCATAAAACAAAACAAAGTTTCTGCACATGCAATGTTTTTTACAATTAAGTTTGAAAGAAAGACAGAATCAACAGTCCTTTAGCGAATCCTTCCATATATGTGTATAAGTACATTTCTTTAAAAGCCTGGCTCAACTTCCTCTTTCAGTCAATAAGATACTGTCGAGCAGTGAGCCACGACCCCAGGCTATAAAACGTAGAGGAACAGAAACATTCTGTAACAAAGTAATTAATGCGAGTGTTGTTTCCATAGAAAGCCATTATGATATATGATCATATATAGATTCTCAAACATTTGCAGAAATTTGTGTTCTTTATATGTGACGTCATCAGGCAAGGTCGCCTTTTTTCATGACGTCACAATAGGAAATTCAGAAGAAACCAAGAAAATTTTACGTCATAATTAAACTTCGACCAATCATTTGCCGAGAACCAAGTTTTCTCTATAGATGAGAATCGTTTTTCTCACACCGGTCGAAAAATGTGAAAAAAGCATGAAAATTAGAGAAAGAAAGATCAACATACTGTATTTAAATCTGGTCCTGAGCCGTGAATACGACAGCAATCGCTAAATAAAGTATATTACAAACTTTTTTGTGTACTAGATACACACATGAGGGCACGTTACCCCGATTGGGTGTACATGATTTACAACATGCA